CTTCTCCCTCTCCCATTCCCCCTGCTTGTGTTCCCTCTCTCGCTGTCTCTCTCTCTGTCAAATAAATAAAATCTTAAAAAAAAAAAAATTTAACACCATGGCCAAAATCAACACAAAGATAGTAAGAATATGCATTTTTTTTTTTAAAGATTTTATTTATTTGACAGAGAGAGAGACAGCGAGAGAGGGAACACAAGCAGGGGGAGTGGGAGAGGGAGAAGCAGGCTTCCTGCTGAGTGGGGAGCCTGATGCGGGGCTCGATCCCAGGACCCTGGGATCATGACCTGAGCCGAAGGCAGACGCTTAACGACTGAGCCACCCAGGCGCCCCAAGAATATGCATTTTAACACTTTTAGAATCACCATACTAAACTGCACTTTACATAAATTATTTCTAATTTTTACACCAACATAATAAAGTCTGTCTTATGGTCTGTTTTACAGTACAGAATTTAGACACAGAGAGGCTAGGCTAGCTAGGAAGCATTTTAAAGTGGGAAATGAACCCAGAATGACCAAACTTTAATATCCTTATTCTTTACACTAAAATATGCCTTTAGTTCCCTTTCTTTCTCCAAAAGGGGAAAACAGAGAATATTTGAGAAAATATTATATATAGGAATAATTTCCCAAAATATTTCCCACTATAGTTCTCAGCCTATCAAGACCATGTAATACAATTAAGTTAGAGTCAATTTCTGGGGTCAGATCCCAGCCCTACCACTGTAATTCTATGAACATGGGCAAGTTACTGAACCTTTCTGTACTGCACTCCTATTCTAAAAAAAATTACAGCGTTGTGTAAAGATTAAATGAAATATCTAAAAGTTTTTAGCAAGGGTGTGGCTAATAATAAATGTTGAAGAAGTATTAGCTATAATTAATGGTATTAATACCATGTCTATACTCTTTAACAAAATTCATATAGAAATTTTTTTAACTTAAATATAGAGATTTAAGTAACTTAAAAATAGAGATTTAAGTAACTTAAAAATAGAGATTTAAGTAACTTAAAAATAGGATAGAAACATTAAAATACCTCCAGGCACTTCAGAAATATACTCTCCAAACATTCTCCTTTGTCATCATATAAAATTGCCTATATTAAAACAAAATAAATGTTAAAAAGAAACAAATTCTGCTTTTCTTAAACATCTTCAATAGCAAATCAAAAATGGTTGTATGAATAAATCCTATAATGAAAGAATTACCCAATTTGTTTTGGATTAGAAAGTACATCTATTTCAAATGTTTCCTAAGCAACTATTCAATCTGTGCAAGACAGCAAAGGTATATGCCGAAGAAATTCATGAACTTAATCTCTGCCAGGAGGATCCTGGAATGGAAATGGGAAGAAAACAGAATTGGAATGCATTAGAGGGCAAAACAGGAGGCAAGATGAGTAAACAGGGATGCCTGAGTGGCTCAGTTGGTTAAGCGTCTGCCTTGGGCTCAGGTCATGATTCCAGGGTCCTGGGATTGAGCCCCAAGCTGGGCTCTCTGCTGAACAGGGAGTCTGCTTCTCCCTCTGTGCTCTCTCTCTCTCTCAAATAAATAAAATCTTTAAAAAAAAAAAAAAAAGGATGTGACATGGAGGATTGGGGAGATGATCAGTGCTTGAAATAAGTCATCAGCATTGGGAAAAGAGACTTATATGGGGTATAAGGAATAAAACTTGTTGAATGGAAGCAATAAGGGAGAAAAAGGAAGTTAAGGTAATTATAATTTTCTGGCTTTCTCCTTGCGTCTTTAGCCATTTTTTTTTTTAAAAGATTTTATTTATTTTTATTTCAGAGAGAATGAGAGAGAGGGAGTACATGAGAGGTGGGAGGGTCAGAGGGAGAAGCAGACTCCCTGCCGAGCAGGGAGCCCAATGCGGGACTCGATCCAGGGACTCCAGGATCATGACCTGAGCCGAAGGCAGTCGCTTAACCAACTGAGCCACCCAGGCGCCCTGTCTTTAGCCATTTTTTATAGCACTTTCTCCACTAGCCCTTTAAATGTTACTGTTTCCATCACTTTGGAGAACAGTTTGGCGTTCTTAAAAGGTTAAAAACAGAGATGCCATGAGATCCAGCAATTCCACTCCACTCTGTACATATACAGAGCAATGAAAACATATGTCTTCACAAAAACTTGCACACAAATGTTCATAGCAGCAAAAATAGCAGCCAAGGGGTGCCTGGGTGGCTCAGTCATTAAGCGTCTGCCTTCGGCTCAGGTCATGATCCCAGGATCCTGGGATCGAGCCCCACATCGGGCTCCCTGCTCAGTGGGAAAGCCTGCTTCTCCCTCTCCCACTCCCCCTGCTTGTGTTCCCTCTCTCGCTGTGTCTTTCTCTGTCAAATAAATAAATAAAATCTTTAAAAAAAAAAAAATAGCAGCCAAAAAGTGGAAACAACTCAAATCTGTATCAGTTGAAGAATAGATTAAAAAAACGTGATATATCCACACAATAGACTATTACCGAGCAATAAAAAGAATAAAGTATTGAAACATGCTTCAACATGGATGAAACTTGAAAACATGCTAAATGAAAGAAGTCATTCAATGAAAGACTACCTATTGTACCATTCCATTCATGTGAAAGGTCCAGAATAGGCAAATCTATTGAGGCAAATCTACTGAGACAAAGAATAAGAGCAAAAGTTCTTACAATGACCAATAAGGCCTACATAATCCCCTTGATCTCCATTCTCATCCTTGCTCACTCTACTCCTTGTTGTCTGCCTAACCCACTAGACAAACATATTCATTTAGTTTACTGGTCTGTCTCCTCCATGTTGTTTCCATGAAGTCAGGGGTTCATGTGTTTTGTTCCCTCTGCATCCTCAAGAACAGTGTGTAACTCATAACAGGTGCTCAAAAAACATCTGTTAAAGAAATAAATGTAGGGGAGCCTGGGTGGCTCAGTTGGTTGGGCATCTGCATTCAGCTCAGGTCATGATTCCAGGTCCTGGGATGGAGCCCCACATTGGGCTCCCTACTCAGCAGGGGTTCTGCTTTGCCCTCCTCCTCTCTCCTTCTGTTGCGTGTGTGCTCTCTCAAATAAATAAAATCTTCAAAGGAAAAGAAAAAAAGAAAGAAATGTATGAATCCACTCCAGAAGCTTCAAATATCATCTAAATGCCACGTACTCCCAATCAGTATTAGTAGCCCAGAACTTTCCTGAGTTGCAGGTCTCTATAGCCAATTATTTAAATGTTCCTATGACACTGCAAATTCATTAAGTTCAAAATGGAACTCAAAATCTTAATTTTGGGGTGCCTGAGTGGCTCATTCGGCTAGGCATCTGACACTTGATATCGGCTCAGGTCATGATCTCAGGGTCGTGGGATCAGGTTCCAAGTCGGACTCTGCACTCAGTGCAAGGTCTGCCTGAGATGTTCTCTCTCCCTCTGCCCCTCTTCCTGCTTGCATGAGTGCATGCACTCTCTCTATATATGTATATATAATAAATGAATCTTTAAAAAATTTTTTAATTTTTTCTCCTAAACTTATGCTTTTTCTTTTTGAGATATCCTATCTCAGTACCTCAGTGTATCCTATCACAATACAAAAACCTGAAAGTCATTATGGATTCTTCTCATCTTCCATGTCCAAGACCTTAAGGTTCTATAATAATTTCACAATTTCTCTCTAATCATCCTTTCTCTCCATTGTCATTGCTAATGCCTGCTTGGTCAGACCCCCACCACTTTTTGTCTACATTATTCTTTAGCCTACAGTCTTCTTAAATTCAATCTTTCATCCTACACAGCTTAAATGTTATGTTATACATTGTTGCCAGAATGATATAAAAAAGAAATATGATTATGTCACTCTTCTGCTCATAATTCTTCACTGGCTCCTAAAGCTGAGTATACATTGTCCTCTGTGATAGGACTCCTGACTGCCTCTTCAAGCCATATATTCTACAATCTCCCAATATGAGCCCTTCATTCCAGGCATATTTAACTGCTTATAGTTACCCAAATTTTTAATAGTTTCATCCTCTATGTTGTTATAGCTATGACACCATCTTTAGCTCCCCTCCCTCCAACCTATCAATTCTGTTTACAAAACAAATATTCAAAAAATACTCTTTATCTGGAAAGACTTCTCTGAACCAGAATCAGACTTTGATATCACTCCCACAAAACCCTAAGCATATCTCTATACATATTATAATCCTTATGTTCTTAGATAAAAGCTGCTTAAAGACAGAAACTATTAAGTTACCATTTATTGCATTCTTACAATGTGCCAGGTACTTTAAGAGGTTTATACATTTTCTCATTTAATCCTCAAGACAACTTTATTAAAGAGACTGTAGGCCTTGAGAAGCTAAATAACTTGCCAAGATTATACATCTAGTAAGTGAAGAGCCAGGATTCAAACTAAGGTCTATGTGACATTAACTGGTCTTCCACATAGCCTTTATATGTCTTATTTAAATTGTCCCACTGCCTACCAGCAACATATGTTTATTAAATGACTCAATTAATGAAAATAAGTAACCCTGACAGTAAGAATTTGGATAGGTAAAGATAATACTAGCAAGAGAAATGGTGTAAGCAGTGGCTTGGATTTGAGAACAAGGGTGTTACTTAGTATACAGAGAGATTACTAACTTTCCTGATCACAGAAAATCCCTGGAACTAACTTGAATTTATCTTGTTTTCCTATGACTTACCAATGTAAGGGATAAAATAGACATTCAAAATACATGCTAGGGGCGCCTGGGTGGCTCAGACGGTTAAGTGTCTGCCTTCGGCTCAGGTCATGATCCCGGAGTCCTGGGATCGAGTCCCGCATCGGGCTCCCTGCTCCTTGGGAGCCTGCTTCTCCCTCTGCTTCTCTCTCTCTCTCTGTCTCTCATGAATAAATAAATAAAATCTTTAAAATAAAAAATATTAAAAAAAAAATACATGCTATACGCTGAAGATAAAATTGGATTACACCACTAGCATAACCCAATATTACGATTTTGTACCCAAAGACATGAAGGATATGCAGAATCTAACCAGATGCCTTTTTAATATAAGACAAAATCTGTAAGACTTTGAAGACTTAGCCCAATCAAATAGGAAAAATATTTTTTAAAAAATTACATAGGGGCACCTGGGTGGCTCAGGTGTCAAGCGTCTGCCTTCGGCTCAGGTCATGATCCCAGGGTCCTGGGATCGAGCCCCACATTGGTCTCCCTGCTCTGCAGGAAACCTGCTTCTCCCTCTTCCACTCCCCCTGCTTGTGTTCCCTCTCTCACTGTGTCTCTCTCTGTCAAATAAATAAATAAAATCTTTAAAAAATAATAAAATAAAATTAAAAATAAAAATAAGTAAAAAATTACACAGAATATCATCAACAGTGAATGGATTAGTTTAAGACAAATTATTTAAAAATATGAATGAAGATAGGCATAGACATTCATCTACTCAAATCAAAAGAAATAGATGATAGGACTTAAACCCAAGATATCAACTATGAGGGGGCGCCTGGGTGGCTCAGTCGTTGGGCGTCTGCCTTCGGCTCAGGTCATGATCCCAGAGTCCTGGGATCAAGCCCCGCGTCGGGCTCCCTGCTCGGTGGGAAGCCTGCTTCTCCCTCTCCCACTCCCCCTGCTTGTGTTCCCTCTCTCGCTGTCTCTCTCTCTGTCAAATAAATGGGTAGGATATTTAAAAAAAAAAAAAGATATCAACTATGAGACCCTTCCTAAAGGGCATGGACTTGGAGATCCCATTGTTACTCCAACTAAACACAAGGTTCAACATGTCCCTTTATGATGCTGGTAAGGTTACAGTGATTATAACCCTAGGTCTCAACTCTCAGGCCGGAATCTAATTTGTAACTTCAGTTCACTGGTATAACTCTAATTTACTTGGGACAGTAACATTTTTATTTAAAGTTAGTTTGTTTGTTTATTTAAAATACTCTCTATTTATTTATTTATTTACTTACTTACTTAAAGTACTCTCTACACCCAATGTGGGGTTCGAACTCATGACCCCAAAATCAAGAGTCACATGCTCTTTGGACTGAGCCAGCCAGGGGGCTCTTATGGGAAAGTGCCTTTTAACTCCTGAAACATTTAGAACTGGATAGTGATAAGGCAGTAAT